CCCCCCCATGGGGGCTCCCCGCCGTCCGAGTCACTTCCGCCTCGGGGCCCCTCAGGTAGGCCGGAGGGCCCGCCTCCCTTCCGCCTGGCTATGCGTCATGGCGGACTGCGAGGTCGCAGCCTCGCTCTCGCAGCGGACCTTCCCATTCATGACTTTATCTCAGTTCCGCCTTGGCGCGCGGCCAGACCTCGCCCAGCGCGTGCAGTCACCGCCTCCCTCTCCCGCACTGACGTGGGGTCTTTGCTGTTCTGCCTGGGCGCGCGCGTTCCCCGTAAGCTGGGCGCTTGGGGCGGTCACCCAGGCGAGAGTCAGATGGGCCCGGACCGACGAGCAGAGCCCCCACAGCTGGCAGCGTGTGTGGCTGGGAGGGGTGCATTGCCACACATGCCTCCATGCACTTCTACTGCCCACGTGGATGGAAAAAATTAAAGGGAACGCTGCTGGTCACCCTCTCTTCCAGGACTCTGCCACCTCCAAGGACCATGCAGGCATGGGGTGGAAAGCAATGAGGCCATCACAATCCAACACTTCGTGTTTTTCTTTGAGCTCCATTCCTACAGACCAGATTACAGGCACCCTGAGGTTCATTTTGTTTTTAAAGGACATACTCCAAGCACAGGAACTTGCAGATGAAAAAGTCTCTTTACCTAAACCCAGTGTACATACAGGCACAAAAACAAAAAACATTTTTTTGGAACACAAATACTGGTTTTTGAATGCTTTGGAATTGGAAATACTACTCCACAGGGAACAGGAAAATTGAGACAGTCTGATTATTTTGCTTAGTAATAGAGGTGGGAAATCCAGCCTTTGCATATCCACTACAAAAATAATAAAAATAGGAAAGTTGCACATTTTCCTTATTTAGATAGGTGCATCCATTTTAGAAAGTGCCAGTTTTAAGAATGACTTAAGTACTCTTTAAAGCAGTGGTTCCCAAACTTTTCGGCATTACGCCTCCACTCCCAAAAAATAGCAGCAAAACTTGGGGTGGGATTGACAGGTCTGTGTGGCTGGGTCACCTCACACCCCTCCTGGAAGTTCTTCACGCCCCCCCCAGTTTGGGAACCCAAGCTTTAAAGTAATTTATTCAAAAGGCTGATGATAGAGTTCTCTCAATTACATCTTGTCAAAAGTGGTAAAGATTTATGATTTTTTTCATCAAGTTGCATATTTAAATATTTCAGCCAGCTTTAATTTTAATGTTTTAAATGGTACTAAATGCAGCTACTTTTTGCAAGACATATTTATGTTACAGTGTTTTGGTGTGTATGTCCTGCAAGTACATTCTACATATATATTTCTAAAAGCATGGATGAGAGAACAGGATTTAAAAGAAAAAGGAAAGTATCAAATAAAATGACAGATTTGACAAAGTGATACCTTATGATTTTGCCTCTTCTTTATGTGAATATTGTCCTGAATTCCCATTGACTCACTGCAGAACAAGATATCTTTATATATATTTTATTAATAAATACCTTGAGAGCATCAATGATAACCAAACGTAACTCACCGATCTTGAACATCAGTGGGCTTTTGACTGCACTTTTGTGCATAGTAGCCACTAGTCCACTGCACATATACACATGAAAAATACTTAATTTTCATTCACAGATGTTCATTTAGTTTAATTTCATTGTCTTGCCATATTTGTAAACCAAAGTGAAGTAACCCTCTGCAATACTTAATAACCATTTAGCAGGTCAATAAAAATGAATATTAAATAAAGGAGGAAACATACAATGCTTCTTTTACTCTACTGCCCACAGGTTTCAATATAAGACTCAACAAATGTACATGGGTTCTAAAATTTAATTTAAAATCATGGTTCTCCTTAAAGGATATTCTTCGGTAGAGGTGGGTGTTCAAATGCAAGCAGAGAACTCCTTTGACCACCATAAAATGTCCAAGTGTAGGAAGGAGTGTTGGCATTATTTTAACAGTAGCAACACATAAACCAAAAATAATTATCACTGTTTATCAAGTTCTGTACATTAATGTGTATTTATACAAATACTATCCACCAAATATTGGCATCTAAGGACAGTTCTAAAATAAGAGTGATTTGCCTGGGATAATCCAGCTTCCAGCAAGGCTAGTACTTAAAAGGGACATTTTAGGTTACTCAACATCCACAGAGCACAACATGTTTTACATGGTGTGCAGAATTTTCTTACTGTTATGTGCAGATTATTTGGACTTAAGTAAAATGAAGCTTGAACAGCATAGTTTGTGGTGTAGTTATATCAGCAACTGCAAGTTCCTGACCATCAACGAGCCCCAACTCTGAAACAAAAAATAAAAAAAGTTGTGCGCAATAAATCTGCGCTTAAAAAAACAAACCACCACTGCATCCCCCCCCCGCAGAATGACTTAATTCTAGGAAGCCTTAAACAAAATGAGCAGAATTCAGTTATATCTAATACATTAGTAGTAATAACCTCAGGCTTAATTCAGCAAGATGGCTAGCAGAAGATACTTGTCAAGAACAAAAAAGCATCTTTTGAGGACTCCAATATTTTTTTTCTAATGACATCTGCCCAAATAATTAATACTAAAGGAGTTAGTCCTCATTCCCAAAATAATTATAATGACAAGGTTGATTGTATGAAAATGGGTTAATCATATTTTACTGCCTGAATTAGTGAGTGAGGATGTGGGTTATTATCCTCTTATAGGTTTAAAGTAAAAGTGTTGGTGAAATAGAAGAGAATACCAAAATGCAAAGCAAAAACACAAAGAGTGGAGTGGATGTAAGAAGAGGGGTAACTGAAATTATCTACGCCCTCTGTCTTCTGCAAGTCAATTTTACTTTCCATGGAAAAAGACAGCTTACTACACTGAAAATTCTGGGCTGTGTTAGGTAATTCTCTACAATCCCTCTGTGACGTAGTGGGGGTACCTGGCTGGTTTCTATGCTGCTGGCTCTGGGGTAACCCCCACTGGCTGCAGTGGGTACCACGACCCAGCAAAACAGGATGAGTCACTATGCAAACCCGTATGGCCAGACACCCCCATGGAGAGGAACAAAGGAAGGTGGAATGCTGCCCTGGCTGGGGGGCAGGGCTGGAAGAGGGTGAGTTAGTTGCTGGCTGGAAGCATGGAGGAGACAGCCTAGGGAAAGGGGCTGGAGTTTAGGGGCCCAGTCTCCCCCATCTCAAGGGGGTCTGAGGCAGCCTAGCCCAGCTCTGTGAACAGACTACATCTGTGCTGTGCTGTAACCTGGAGAGGCAATAAACTTCCTCTATTCCACCGGCTGGTGCAGTCTGTTTGTGCCATTTCGGGGTGCAGGAGACGGGGGACCCCCAACGCGCTGTCACACCCTCCTTCTCAAAAATCCCAATTTAGCCATGGGGAAAAGAATAGAGAACAATAATCCCAGATTTTAAAAAAATCAAATCCATTAAGTTTTTTGACAATCCAGCAGTCTGTACATTTGCACATCTTAAAATTACTTTATCAGGTACAAACCTAGCTCTCTAAAACTAGTCACATACTAGTATTTCATTATATGTAATTTTCAAGATTTGTTGTGTAAAAGAGCTCCTATTGTTGCAGTATGTGCACTAAATTCTACAGAAGCATTAAACAATACAGTAATTCCTCATTTATCACTAAAGATATGTTTCAGAAAACGATCGTGTTAAGTGAAAATGTGTTATGTGGATTCAATTTTCCCATTGAAAATAATGGAAAAGGTGGGGGTTGCGTTTCAAGCGGTGGTGTCTGTTGGGACCAAGATATAAGGTTGGGGGAGAAAGGGGACTGGGTTACAGCAGGAAAGGGAGGTGTTTGGCTCTGGGGAAGAAAAGGGGAGGAGAAGGGAGGGGGATTGGGTTGGAAGTATGCCCCTGTGACGGGTCTGCCAGGACCCGCACTGCATCTGGCGGGGGGGGGAGGGGTTGCCGGGGAACGGCACGGCAAGCGGCGAACTCTCCGCCGCTTTGCAGGGAGGCAGGGAAAGCCCCGTGCAGCCGCCGGCAATGGGCCAGCCGGCAAGCGGGGGCGGAAGAGAGGGGGCAAAATGTCCAGCGAGGGGGAGTCAGTGGGGAACGGCGCGGCGAGCAGCGAACCCTCCGCCACTTTGCAGGGAGTCAGGGGATGCTCCACACAGCCGCCGGCAACGGGCCAGTTGGGGAAGTTGTGTTATTCCGGGGACAGTCGTGGAATTCAAAAAACATTCCCTAAAAAAATCACGCTATCGCAAAAATGTGTTAAGTGGGCACGTGTTAAATGAGGAATTATTGTACAGCAATCGAATTGTGAATCATATCTCTGATTAATGTGTGTGTCTTGATCTTCTGCATATAACTGAATTAGATAATACCTTTCAGTGTCTTAGAAAGATTTGGCCTTGTTCGTTCTTCAATTGAAGCGACTGTCTGCAAAATAATTTTTTTTTTTAATTAAACCAAACAAAACTTAAAATGAAAATAAGTTTAAGCAAAAGTAAGCAGATACTGCTCACCTGTAAATAGAGTGTTTTATTCCCCCCATACACAGTTGCTGTGATTGCTGGAGATTTCATTTGTCTGTATGAAACATACAACAATAAAACATGAGAGCTATCAGGATAAAACGCAGCTTGAAAAAAATATTTAACATGCTGCAAAACTTCACATTTCTAAAAACGAATCCAAGAAATCAGAATAGTTGCAGACTTACAAAGAAGCATTATTTGTCAAATAATCCAAAACCTCCTGCAGTTTAGCTGATGGAGGGAACTCTATATTTTGAGGGAGTTGGCTGCAGGCTGAACAATTCTCCTATAGGAGGGAAAAACAAAACAAAAACAACAACAAACAACAAACACACACACAGAGTTACTAAGATTATACAGGTTGAACCTCCCTTAACTGGGACTCCCTGGACTGGCAATATCCATGGGCTGGCATGACCATGGATATTCCTGGACCAGAGCCCAAGAACAGGGAGATCTGACGGCAGGGCGGGGAGCTCTAGCCCCAGCAGCCGGTGAGCTGCAACCCCAGCAGCTGCCGTGGAGCTCCAGCCCCCCGGCCGTGGAGCCAAGCGGCTGCAGAGCTCTGGTCATGCCACTCCAGCCCTAGCAACAATGGGGCCAGCAGCAGCTAGAAATCCCTGCAGCTGGGGCAGCAGCGGGGCCAGGGTGCCCTAGTCTGGTGGCAGCAGGGCAGCATGGGCCATGAAGAGAGGGATCTCTTCTGGTCCAGCAAATCCACCGGTTTGGGACCAGTTAGGTCTGAAGGGTGCTGGACAAGGGAGGTCCAACCTGTACTGATACACTTGTATCAGGACCAGTAATGATTCAAATTGCAGATCTTTGCTATTACAAGTATTGAAACATTTATAAACACATGGATCTAGCAAAATTAATACGTCTCTGAAGATTAAATACCCAATCCAGTGCTCTGTGAAATCAATGGGAGCCTTTCCATCAACTTCAGTGGGCTCTGAATCAGCTTGATAGTCACTAATATATAGCAGTATCCAAACGTACAGTCAATCTGTATTTTGTTTGGTTTAGAGTTAATCCTGTATGTTACTGAATTAACTATATCCTAACCTCTTTGTGCCAACAGTTGCTGTTGTGCCCTTAAGGCTATATACTTTGTTCTGGGAATTATGATTCTTGATGTCAGAGGGTTAATATTTTCTCAATCCTGTTTTCTAGGCTCAGATATTGTTCTCCTCCAGCTATATTAGCCAAAGTAATTGCCAGAGCTAGAGATTTAAATCACCTGGCTCACCTTTCTAGACAGGGGTTGCTGCTTTAAACACTGGATACAGCAACAAGGCCTACACCAATAGCTGGTGGGAAATCCTTCCTGCACCTGGAACTTGTTCCCCAGCCACTGAGAAATTTGGGCCCCAACAGATATGAATATTTCTTAAATAAAGCACCAATATTTTGTATTTACTTTATTATAGTTAATGATAATTTGATAGAGTAGGCCTACAATCCACCTATCAAATGCTTCTCTTTCTAATGGTTAATTGTTGCCCAACTGCTTGGCCTTAGCAGAGTAATGCTGCTGATCCCTAGAGGACAGATGGAAAAATTTCTTCACACAGTAACATGTCAGTGCCCACATGTGTCTAGTACACTTGCCATGCCCCAGATAACTGATGTACCCCCAGATCCATCAACAACTGACCTTAATTTACTCTCCTTTAAAGCTGAACAGTTTCGTTGTTCTCTATGAATCTACAAGGTTCCCACAAAGCTTCGGCAGCAGCACAGCCCCCCAGCTGCGTTACCCCACAGCCTAAAGGGAACCTTGCACATCACTGCCTATTAGGCCAACCCTCTCCCACAGAATATCTGTACAGTTATCAGACATACTGTTACTTCTGTTTGTAAATACCTGGGAGATATTTAGATACTGTGGTGGGAAACAGAGATTGCATTTTAAGTCCAGCAAATAAGTAAATAGCTACTATTGCAACAGATTCTATAATAATTCAGGAAAGAACCCAGCTAGCCCAAGAGGCTTTTCTGTAGTAGTACTAACCTTTCTTTCAGCTTCAAATGTATATGTGTATAATCCGTCTACATCATTGAACACCAAGTAGTTATTCAGAGGAATGTATGCACTGCAATGAGAAATGGGTTAGTGTTTATACAAATAAGTTTGTTGAAAATATTTATATTAAAAAACAACAAATTACCTTGTGGCTATTTTAAAAACTTCAGTGGCACATACAGCTGGAAAAGGAAAAAAACAATTGCTTTGTTCTTAATCTTAAAATATATACACAAACAATCAAAACACCTACAGACTGAAAGGTTCCCCTGACTCTTAGCTGGTATGACTATCCACCAGTGGTCACCAACCAGTAGATCTTGGAGCCTCTGACAGGTGATTCCTGACTGGTTTGGCCAAGAGGCTATCAAGTGCGGGCACTTCAGCTGCTCCTCCCCCTACCGCTGCTCATCTCCTGCCCTTTGCTTTGGAGCTGACCCCGCCCTGGGAACCTCCTGCTTTCTGTGCAAGGCACAGGAGGGAGAGGAGGGCCGCTGATGTCAAGGTGCCCCCTCTCCCACTCTGTATCATTATCTCCAAAGAGCAGAAGGGGGGCACAAGAGGACTTGGGATGGAGTCTGCTGGCTGCTTTTTGGGAGTGGTGCAGGGCCAGGACATGGGCAACCCTGTCTTAGTCCCACTGCACCACCACCCACGAGCCACCTGAGGTAAGCAGTGCCCAGCTGGAGCCCACATCCCAAACCTCTATCCTAGTTGTGAACCTCCTCCTGCACCCCAAGCACCCCTGCATCCAAACACCCTCCCAGACCCTGCATCTAGAACCCCTTCCTGCACCCCAACTGCCTGCCCCAAGCTCCTCTCACACTCCAAATCCCTTAACCCAAGACCAGAGCCTGCACCCCAACCCTCTGCCCCAGCCTAGTGAAAGTGCATGAGGATAGGAGAGGGAGGGAGGACCGAGCTAGCAGGAGCGGAGCCCCGGAGAAGGGGCACAAAGGAGGGTCTTTGTGTACGAGATGCATCTTGGATTGCACTTAAATTCAAAAAGTGATCTCATGCTTAAAAAAAAGTTGGAAATCACTGCTATACACTAAGATGTGGTGGACTTGGCACTCAGGCACTCATCTGAGACAGTCTTGGACAATGTTCCTTCTAACTTTTCTCATGCATATGTAGAATGAATTTGGTTGTGTGAACCAATATGGACAGGATGTGTGATGCACCATGTCAGCATTTGTGCACGTAACAAAAGTCATGTGGTGGGGCTGAGGGATTTGGAGTGTGGGAGGGGACTCGTGACTGGGGGGCAGAGAAGTGAGGGATCTGAGGGTGCAGGCTCTGGGGAGGGGACAGTTTGCAGGAAGGGGCTCAGGACTGGCGCAGAGGGCTCCGGCTGGAGGTGCAGGCTCTGAGGTGGGGCCAAAGATGAGAGGTTTGGGATGTAGGCTGCTCTGGAGCTACATCAGGGAAAGCATCTCTTTCTGCTCATGGCAGGTCCAGGGCTGGGGCCAAGGTGGTGGGGAGAGCCTCTCTCCCTGCCTATCTGCAATGTGTGGCAGCTCCAGGGCTGCGGTCAGAAAAGAGCTTTTCTCCCTAGCTCTCCCCACCTGGAGCAGCTCCAAGGTTGGGGCCAGGGAAGAAATGCCTCTCCCTGCCTATGGCAGCTCTGGGGCTGGGGAGGAGGCGTCTCTCCCCAATGCAGACATAGGTGCCTGTGCAGCCCTTGATAAGCTGCTGTTTGGAGGGCACTTAGGTCTTGCAGATCTACATTATACTTTTTATCTCTACATTTTTGAGGTGGCAGTGCATCCTCCAACTTTTTCTTACTCTCAATCATAGAAAGTGCTGAGAATTATGCAAGACGATGTGCAGCTGTCACGCAGAGAAAACGGGAAAATAAAAGAAAAAGTTAGCGAACTAGAAAAACCCTAAATTACCCACTCTCACCCTCCAGTCCTTAACAGCTGCCTCAAGAGAAAAAACACCTCGCTACCCCCAATGGTCAGGCAAAATGAGGGAAATTTGTACTCCGATGTCTGGGAACTTTCTAATAAAAGCCAAAACTTTTCATTTCATCATTACTGTACCTGCAATGACTGCATTTGTAGAAGCTACAGCTGGAATGATCCGCTTAACAACCCCTGAAGAGATGAAACATAAAGCATTAAAACTTTTCCAAAGTAGCTTTCCCATACAGAGTACTGTTCCACAAATGTTGTGGTTGCTTTGATTGCAGTACAGTATACCCTTTGTCACTTTACACACTTTCCTATACTGCACATTTCTATAGCACCCATCACTGTAGTATCTAAAATGCTGTTGAAATATCTATGCATTTCCTTGGAATTTATTGCTGCAGTTTGCAAGAGGTTACTGTCCACACACACTTACAGAAATGCCAACTACTGCACTCTCTTACCTTGAGTAAGTCTGTATGTAACACCCTTGATATTGAATTGTGATGCTCTTGCTAAAGATTGTTGGTAAATCCATTGTATATGATCAGGGTCATCTCCATCCAAAGGAACACTCTCTACGGGAAAATAAAGAATGTACAGATAAATTAAATTCATAATAGCTCTTCATCAACATCTACTTTTTTTCCTACAAATTTTAGATGGGGCTTGGCCCTACTATCAGTAAAGGGGACTAGACTTGATGACCTTTTGAAGTTCCTTCCAGTTCTATGATTCTAAATTTGTTTTAATCCACTAGTCTTGGTGAAAATTAGCACGTGTTTTCAGAAGCATTGTTGGCTAACCAATGTAGTTATTAAAACTGATTTCCATGCATTTTGCAAGCCCTGATGTATAGTTTATAAAATCTGCAAGTTCATGACATGGATGGTCATGATGGGGTGTACACAGGAGCCACGGGCAGATAACTACATTGTGGATTTGAGGAGGAACAGAACAGGCCAAGCCAATGTTCACTCTGCTTAACCACGCATTTTCCACACTCCCCAATATGGATTGTACCTGCCTTAACTGGGACTCCCTGGTCCAGCAAGATCCGTGGTTCGGCACTGACCACGGATGTTCCTGGACCACAAAGCCCAGGAACAGGGAGGTTTGGCGGCAGGGCACAAGCACCATAGGGGGCACTGGTGACTCAGCGGGGAGTGTGTGCGCGCGCACGCACCCGTCTGGGAGAACAGGTGGGGGGGGGAGGGAGTTCTGATCCTAGCAGCAGCTCTGATTCCTCCCTCTGGACCATCTGGCATTGGCCACTGTCGGCAGACAGGATACTGGGCTAGATGGATCTTTGGTCTGACCCGGTCTGGCTGTTCTTATGTGGAGCTCCAGCCCCGGTAGCAGTCAGGGAGCTCTGGCCACAGAGCTTCAGCCCCAGCCATGCAGCTCTGACCTTAGCCGTGGAGCCAGGCGGCTGCAGAGCTCTGGCCCCAGCTGCAGAGCCAGGCGGCTGTGGAGCTCTGCTCCGGCTGCAAAGCTCCGGCTATGGTGCTCCGGCAGCAGCGGTGCTGGTGGCATCTAGAGATCCCCGAGGGGCTGGGGAAGCAACGCGGGGCAGGTTGGCACCCTAACCCAGTGACAATCCAGGTCAGGAGTAGGAATGTTAAATTGCATTTAATTGACTAATCAACTAGTTGATGAATTTCCATCGACTAGTCGATAAGTGAGGGAAACTGTGAAGCCACAGTGGGGTTAGCTTCCAGCCCCGGGAGCTAACCCCACTGCTGCTCTGCCTTTTAAATACATTAAGAGCCTAATGGCTCTTAATACATTTAAAAAGCAGAAGCACAGCGGGGGGCCAGGCACTAGCCAGGACAGCTGATTCTCGGCTCACGCCTTGTTCCCCTTGCTGCACCCCTGCCTGCTCTTAATACATTTAAAAGGCTGAAGCGCAGCGGGGGGGGACCTGGGCGCAAGCCAGAAATCAGCTGATTCCATCCTTGCCCAGTCCCCCTCTATGCCTCTGTCTCCCCTACCGTTCTGTAGAGATGGTGTTGGGGGGAACCGGCTTTTAAGCCGGTCTCCTCCAAACACCAACTCCTGCTCCCCCCACTTGCTACCTCTTTCTGACAGAGGCAGCAAGAGTGTGGGAAAGCGACTTGTCAAGTTACTAGTTGACTATCCGATAAGCATATGCTTATCAGATAGTCAACTAGTTGCTTACATCCCCAGTCAGGAGAGGAGGGACCTTCCCTGGTCCAGCAAATCCCTCGTTCGGGACCACCTAAGTCCTGAGGGTGCTGGACCAATGAGGTCCAACCTGTATTATTTTATATGTAACTAACTTTAAATGTAGTTTTGTTGAAAACCCTTACACATTCTCAAGAGTGGAAACCATATAATATTTTTAAGAGCAACACTAAGATTAGAAGACTAAATAGTAGAGCTACTTTTTTCTTACATGGACATTACAAGATATGCATCTCTCTTCAAACCTTCAGAAACTC